GGCCTACTTAAGTGTTTTTAAGTAAATAAAATATTGATAAACATCAAGTGTTGTTTTCTCTCTTCATCTCGGTCAGAACAAGTAGCAGCTGTCTGTACCTTGAGGCATTTCTCCTGTATCTGGCACACGAAGGGCATTCGATGCGTGTGTGCTGCCCTGTAACTTCCTGTGCATGTTTTAGTTCTTCCTTCAGTGTAGGGGCCGGGCTGACTCATCTCCGTATTCCTACTGCACCTTGCATGGTGATTCACACATAGTAGGTGCTCAATAAAGATCTATTAAATGAATAAACACTTGTGCTGAATATTGGGTTATGACTAGTTATAAGAGAAAAGCCAGTCAGAGTAATTCAGTTTAACCAGTAGGGGTATGCATGGTGGGGCTGGCGTGGAGAAAGAATTTGGTAAAGGCAGCTGATTCACTGATTGACTGGGCTGAGGTCTTTTGGTCCCTGGAAAGTTTCAGAAGGAAATGCCCTTGCAGCCTTGAAAGGAGGCTGCAGACTGAGGGGCAGGCTGGAGTTCAGGACCCCTTACTCAGGCAGTGGCTGAAATCAGGTGAAATAAGTGCCCAGGGAGTGTGGACAGAGAAGGGCAAAAAGGAACACGGCTTGAGGACAGGATAGCCTGGGCTAAGAACAAAGCCCTGGAAATCTGATCTGCTGGCTCAGGACCCAGGGTCTGGATCACATAGCTCTGCTGTGTCCAGCTGTGTGACCCAGGGCAAGTGTCTTCACCTCTCTGGGCCTAGCTGCCTCATCTGTAGATGAGGATGACAATAACACTGACCGCATAGGGTTGTTGTGAGGATGATTCAGTGAGGCGACCTGCATTAACGGGTCTGGCACAATGACACATAGAAAATGCTTAGTAAGTTAGCTCCACTATGGAAGTTGAATCAAAAAAGAATTAAGAGAAAGAACAGTCAGAGAGAGAAGCCCATTTGTAAAGAATCTAACTTTAGAAAATAAAAATGTTCCCACTTCATCTGTGAGGAAACTGAAGCTCAAAAAAGCGCTTTGTCCAAGTGACAGAGCCAGTAAGAGGAACAGGCAGAATTATTTTTGTTACACAATACTGCCTCCCCTGGTGCTCTGGAAACTAGAGACTCTCTTGAGAACCATTAATTTCTTTTGCTCCAGTATGATTTAGGTACTATATTGTCAGTCATTTTTCTGTGTGACCCTTTTATTTTCAAATTAGAAGTCATTAAAATATTATGATTTATTTTCAGTCTGGAAGAGAGGAATAAAAAAGAAAGAATCTCTTTTACTCTACATAATTTCTCACTGCTTCTTTTCTGAGCTGGTCAGGGAAGCCTTGGAAGGTTACAGGTTTCAACAATAACACAAGTTAAGGGTTTTGGAGTTGGGCAGCTCTGGGGGTTAAAATCCTGTGTATGACCTTCACTAGGGGTTGACCTTGGCTAACACCTCTCATTGCCTCGGTAAGATGAGAATAATATAGTTCTTCTCACAGTGTGCTACAGTGAAATGATTAAATATTAATACATGTGCCTGGCATGTAGTAAGGGCTCAGTGAAATACATACATGTTGGGTAGTCATATGTCTCTAATCCAAGCTATTGTTTTCCTAAATGTGCAGACTGATATAAGGGGAACACTACAAATGTGTATGCCATATATTCATTCATTCTGCAAATATTTATTGAGTACCTGCTATGTTTCAAGCATTGTTCTGGGTGCATGGAATTTATCAGTCAACAAAACAAGGATTCCGGCCTTTGGTAGACTCAACGTTTATATCCTCCTGAGATTGAGCTAGCACGGTAACTTAAGTCTTAAAGACAACACACAGGTGCCTTTTGCAAACTCTGGTCACTATACATTCCTCTCTCCTGTCCCTGTTATCGGCGGGGACGGGGTCCGAAAAAAAAATCCCATAGTAAAGACTACTGAAGTCATTGATGTTTATTTAGCTGAAGCAGTTAGGGTTTGCTTAAGTTGATTTTTTAACGAGTCTGCTCCTCCAGATTTTTAACGAGTGATTTTTTAATGAGTCAGCTCAACTGGTGAAGGTGGTCTCAGAGTATGACAGGAAGCAGGGGAAATCAGCTGGAGCTACAAATGTGCTCTGGAAGAGAATTTTTCCACGCCGAATGTAATTTACTCTATCAGTAATTGCAGCAACTCGCCTTTGGGATAGAGAAAGGGAAAGAGGGTAGACAATTTACGCGAACAAAAGCTCTTGATAAATTATGAAGGCTCTGCACTCCGGAGACCACCGTATCCAAGCGCAAGTTTTCAGACTCACCTGCCAGGATGCACTTGGCCGCCAGCTTCACCATGGTAACCAACACTACCACGGACCACAGGGCAAGCCGGCTGCTACAGGCGTTGGCGGGTGGGCTTCGGGGCCCAGGGCTGGCCTAGGCCCGGAAAGTGGGGAGGGCTGATCTCAAGGTCCGTGGCCGCGGTGGGGATGGGGACGAACGGGACCTGGCCCTCCTGGGCTGGGCCGAGGGAGAGTATCGGGCGCTGAAGGTGGGAGGAGCAGGAAGGCTCACAGACCGCCCGGCACAAGGCCCCAAACGGCAGCCCCGCAAGGTGCACGCGAAGGGACGCGGCTCACGCTCCCGATCCAGCCCCTCAGCCCAACCCGGGTCTGGAGGAAACAACCCGGCGCCCCCAGCATCCCAAGCACAGCGCCAGACGTATTCCCCAGGCAACGGTAGCCCACCGGCCCCGCCTCCTCCACCTCACTGGCCCTCGATTGGTTCCCACTAAAAGCTCCCACCGTCGAAGGCTCTCGGAGACCCAATGGGGGGAGGGGGCGAGGCTAAGAGCTCTCTGTGCAATACAATTTGTAGGAAGATCTGCTCTTCAAGTTCATCCAACTTGACGAATGGTTGCAAATTCCGTCAATCACTTCCACTTCAGACCGCCCCCCTCCGCCCGGGATGAAGAAGCTCTAACATCAAGCAACCAGAGAGATAAGAAAAGAAGCTTTCTGATTGGCCAGAGCCTGGCTTGACCCATCCTCCCGATTCGCCACACCTTCTGCCCTTCTGGAAGTGGGTTCGCCCACGAGGGGGCTGGGCGGGCTCTCGGCAGTCTGGCGCCTGCGCAGTGGCCCAGGCTGCCGTTGTGGACGCCGTCTCGGGCGATTTGACATCCCAGGCAGGTTCCTGCCGCTTCCCCATTTCCCGGGTTCCGGGGAGCGCAGTTATGAGGTGCAACGAGAAATCCGGTCCTTGCCCCCCATCCCGTAGGGAAAATCTCATTTTACAAGCTCAAGGACGGCATGAGCTTTATAGTCCAAAACATGAAAGTGTTTAAAGTGATGTCTATGAACAAAAAGGAAAACAAGTAAACTTTTATGAAGCTGAGCGGTTGGACTCAGGAATTTGAAGTTATACTTTCCTCTTAGTGCATTTGCTGTCCTGCAAAATAGAGAATACCTCACATACTACACTGCCCATCACCAAGGGAAGCTCTGTAAATACCAGCTGACTCGGGGCAGGGGTGGGTCTGTCCTGCTTCGTGGTCAGGTGGTCAGAAACTTAAATCCCTGCCATCTTGCCTGCCTGGGTAAGTCACCTCATCCCTCTAAAGATGGGATCTTTGATGGGTGATGCTTAAAGGGAAGAGCATCCCCTCAGCAAAGATGCCTGCGCTAAGGATTTTTGTGCCCTTCAGACACGGGAACATTCTGCCCTGTCGCTGCTGCTCTGTGTCTTAGGGTGGCCACCAGCCTTGTGCATCGCTAAGTGCTTTTAGCAATGAATTAATTTAATATTCATGTCCATATTTTATATCCACAGTAACCCTTGTGAGGCTTGTATCGTCTCCATTAGGGGAAACTGAGGCCCAAATGAGATTAACTCAAGCACTCAAGGTTGCAAAGCTAGTGAGTGGCAGAGCTGGGATTTGAACTCCCTCCCACTCTTCCTGTCATCCTAGAGAGCAAATGTTTATCAAGTTTCTTGAAGTAGTAACACACGGACTGCGCTTTATTTACCAGGTATGTGCTAAGCACTTCACATCCTCTCTCTTATTTGATGCCACAACTCTGGGAAGTGGAAACTATCATTATTTTAAGGAAAGGAAACTGAAGTCCAGAGAAAGGCCAAGGTCACACGAGCCAGCTTGATCCAGAACCAGCCCTGGGTCTCTTACTCGTGGAACTGATCTTTTTTCCAATACCTGGTATGGTCTCTCCAGTTTCATAAATAAGCTTTTCTTGAGTGCCTACCATGGGCCAGGCACTGTGCCGGGGTTTGGAGCCACAGAAGTGAGGACGACAGAGTCCCAGTCCTCACTGCTGGCATGTCATGGCCATGTGGGAACGCAGGCCCAATGTTGCCGATCCCTGACTTTTCTAGAGGAGCCAGGAATCTGGGTTTTTGTGTGAAATCTTTTGACCTGTAAGTTTTGGCAATGAACTTCAAATTAAAACACTGCAGCTACAGCTGTTGATGGTTCAGCCTGGGGGCTGCGCATCTGTGACCTCTGGTCAAGACAGGGAGACAAAAGTGTAGGCAAATCATTGTGACACGTGTGGATACAGGATTCCCTGCACCTCAAGGAACATTCCTAACCCTGGATGGATGGGTGGAAAGGGAGTGGGGAAGAATATTCTGGAAGGAGAGTCTTGTAGGAATTTGCGAGATGGACATAGAGCAAAGGCCACGCTGGGTAGATGGGACGGCACCTGCAGAGGTGTGGATTTGTGGGGGTGCATCACATCAAATACACATCCGGATGGCAAAAGAGAGTGAGGCAAGGTCCGGCATAGGACCCTTATTTGAGGAATTCATTCAACAAATATTTATTGACTGCTTACTAAGCACTAGGATGTAGAGGTGGACAGAACCACCCAGCCCAGTGGAGACACGGATGACCAGGCAACGGTGATCTGTGACTGTGTGTGGTAAGCATGAGTAGGAGAGGACGAGGCACAGGAAGAACAAATGCCCTACACTGGAACCCCAGGACCAGCACATCAACATCACCCGGGGGATTTTTTTAGAAATGCAAATTCCCAGGCCCCACCCCATACCCACTGAACTCAGGGCATGAGGCCCACAGTCTGTGTTTTCATGAGCCCTCCTGGTGATTCAGACGTATGCTCATGTTGAGAACAACTGCTCTTAGGTAATGCTGGGACCTACCTTGATCTATTATATCTGGTCATTTTACTGTTTCTCAAACTCCTCCAGAACATTCCTACCTCAGGGCCTTCACACATACTGTCCCCAGCATGGAGACGTAGCTCTTTCCCTCATGATCTTCAGATCTCTGCTCAAATGTCATGTCCCTAGGGAACCTTCCCAAGCACCCAGTTTAGGAATCGTTCCCAATCTGTCAGTCTCAATCTCCCTGACTTGCTTTACTTTCTTCATAGCATTCACCACTACCCGAGATGATACAGTCTGTCCCTCTGTACCCACGGGGGATTGGTTCCAGGACCCCATGGATACCAAAATCCATGGATGCTCAAGTCCCTATATAAAATGGTATAGTATTTGCATATAACTTATACACATCCTCCTGCATACTTTAAATCATCTCTAGAATACTTATAATACCTAGTACAATATAAATACTATGTAAATGTTATACTGTATTTTAAAATTTGTATTATCTTTTATTGTTGTATTGTTATTTTTAAATTTTTCCCCCCAAATATTTTCAATCTGTGGTTGGTTGAATCCGAGATGCGGAATCCATGATGTGGAATCTGCAGATATGGAGGGCTGAGTGTGTTCCGTATTTATTTGTTTATTTGCATAGTACCTGTCTCCCTACACCGGAAGGTAAACGTCATAAGAACAGGGACTTGGCCTCTTTTGCTAACCCAGCATCTAGGACAGTGCCCAGCATGGTGACGCTCAGTAAATATTGTGGAGTTAATCAATGAATCTTGTAGGGTTTACCCTTCTGGTCACTCATTCATTCATTGAATAAGGACCAATTCTTGAACACCAGTTCTTGTGCAGGTAATATGCTTATTATCATACCTACACAAGAACTAGGATGGGTGCGATGACCATTCAGAGGGGAGCAGCCTGATCCTGGGTCCTCTCCCACCCTCCGCCTGCACCACTAGCCAGACCCACGTGCTTTGTGGAAGAGGAGGGGTTAACGGTGCTGCTTCCCAAGCCAGGGACTGGGCTGTTTAGGCTGATGACAGGGGCTTTGCATAAGAGGGGAGGGGAGGGGCAGCGGCTGACAAGTTGTTCCCAGGAACTGTTCAATCATCCTGGGTTCGAATGCTTCCTGACGTCGCTGATGAGCTGCATGCATATGAGCTGTGGCTCCTTGCCAGGGACAGCCGCAATATTCCACTCACGGCGCTGGGGCTGATCGTGCCCACTGCAGGGCCCAAGTCCTTTTGCCATCACACTGTGACAGCCAGGGGTCTCTCCCTCTGCCTGGGCCCCATCACAGCCCCATCACTTATAGGGTGTAGTAGTGGGATTGTGGGATGCAAAACAATCCCTTTGGGTAAATAAAAGGTTTTAGCGGAAATGCGTAGGGAAAAGGCCTCTTGAGAGAGATTCTGCATGAATCCTCAAGAAGAACGTCTTTCATACATTAAAGCAGATGTGCTCGAACGCTCTCATGTCAGAGGGCAATGCCAAAAAGAGAGGGCTAGGAGGTGTGTAGAATTTTATGTACTTAGATCAGGGTTTTTCCACCTTGGCACCATTCATATTTTGGGGTGGATAATTCTTTGTTGTGGGGCTGCCCTGAGCACTGTAGGATGTTTGGCAGCATCCTCATCCTCTGCCCACTAGATGCCAGAGTCATCTCCCTGGTGGAACAACCAAACTGTGTGCAGACATCACCACCCCTGGGGGGCAAAATCTTCCATGGATGAGAACCACTGATTTCGATGTCTGAACTCGGTGAGTAAAGGATACTGACTCTAACATTGAAATCCGCAAGGACTTGCGACGCAGGCTGCCTGGGTTTGAGCCCCTGCTTTGCCACCTCCCCTTGGTGTCTCAGTCTCCTCTTACCTGCTCCTGTGGACGCTGTGAGGCTCAGATGAGTGGCCACAGGTAAGGGGTCTGGCTAACGCCTGACAGGTGGTAAGACTCTGATTATCAGCCACTGGGGTGACGACGACTCCCCCAGGGGGGTCATAATGCGGCGATGGAGTTCTGTCTTACAATTTCCTGCGATGCACTGTCGCATCTGGCACACCGCCTTCCCGCGGGAATGACCTTTGCTGTTCTTTCTCCCACTGTCCACGTGGGCCTGCTTGTTTATGTCTCCGCTGATGCAGGGCTTGGCGGGCCCATCTCGGCAAAGGGCAGAGGAAACGGACTGACTCACCTTCTGCGCGCCCGGAATGCAAAGCGGGGCCCTGAGCCGTGGCCCGGGCAGGGCGCGGAGGCCGCGGTGTGCCGGTTCCGTCGGCAGGGGGCAGCAGCCGCCGGGCAAACGCCTGCTGCAGGAGGGCGCCGGGGCCGCCCGGCCTTTCGATTTACTCTGCGGCTGCTTTTATTTCAAGTTGAGCAAATCATCCGTCCAGAGCCACCTGGAGGCCTCCTCTAACAGGCCGAGATGCTTCATCTGTGGAAGCCAAGAGCTGCTTTTCCAGAACGTTCCACGTATTTGCTGGCCAATGGAGAATGGGAGGCTGGTAACTCACCTGGGACGTCTCTCCCTTTTGAGACGCAGAGCTCTGGGCTCGGAGTC